AGACTAATCTGTCAACATCTAGTGTAACATTCATAAGCTAAACACACCAATGAATCAATAATTATGTAGTTACACTCTTACAAATACAATTTACACATCTGTTTCTCCAGGCAGCATCTGAGGAACAAGATACTAAAGATCACTGAAGTCAGCAGCAAAGTCATGTCTTAACAAGCATGTTCAAAAACCCATTAAAAGAATCCATCACTTATTTCTCCCTCTTTATTTCAAATCCCACTACACAGAAGTTACCATGCACCCCTAAGGAAGCACTCAGGGTAAAAAGATGCTTTTTGAAACACTTTTAAGAACCATAGAATGGTTTGGGTTGGAAGGGACCTTTAAAGGTCACCCGGTACAAACCCCCTGCCATGGGCAGGGACACCTTCCACTATCCCAGGTTTCTCCAAGCCCCATCCAACCTGGACTTCAGCACTTCCAGGGATGGGGCAGCCACAGCTGCTCTGGGCAACCTGTGCTAGTGTTTTATCACCCCCACTGTAAAATGGCCCTTTAACACACACAGAGGCAGTGATGGGATTCTGCTGCAAGATGTCAGCAAAGCAGCAAAGAAATATCATTGTAAAAATACACAGGAGGTAGAGATTTTTCTGTTTAGCTCTTCTGTATATAATTGATCTCTGCTAACTTATGCAGCAACTTTTTCCCTTTTTTTATAACATTAGTGTTCATTAAGTGCTCTAGAACCAATGACATTTGTCCTGAAGGATGGGAGGTCACACTGATCAGTCAGTGCAAGTCAAAACCACCTGAGCACAGGGCAAGTTTCCAAGATATTTGTGGAGAAAGGGAGACACTGTTGTGTGTATGGAGTGACAAAACAAAAACTCCAACTGCTTGCTTTGGTGGACTTTTTAACTCATATCTCCAGTATCCAATCATGGCACCTAAACCCCTTTCAACAAAAGGAAGCACTTTAGAAAAGTAATCCATTCTTATCATCTTGAATTTGACTTTCAAGAGTAACAAGCCATAGAGATGAAAATAGACACATACCAAAGACCAGAACAAAAAAGTGTTTCCTGCCTATTGTACAGGGTCTGACTGGGCTTAGATAAGCAAACAAAACATGAAATAGCTCAGTTTTGAATATTACAGGTACAACTCTCTCCAAAATCTTCAGGTAGTTTTGCAGGAACTAACTCCTGTAACTGAACAGCTTTATGCACTTGTGGAACAATCAACCTGTACATTTAAAAGTTTTACATGTATAAGATATAAACTACACATCTTTAAAACAAGAGAGTAAGTACAGGGTGTGTTGCTACATGGAGATAACCATTACTGGAACTCAGGAATAATCCCCAAATGGCACCCTGGAGACAGTAATACACAACTTTGCTTTCTGAGCTACTTAATGGATGTTCTTTAAAGGAATATTAAGAGAGTAAAAGGTTCCTAATGTGAAGTGCTCAAAACATTTTAGAAACTATGTAGGTTTGTGTGCCAAAAGCCAAGTAAAAATCAAGCATGAAAGGAATTAAAGACAATATAAGCAGGGCTAAAAGCAGAAGAGTTTTAGAAACTCTGTGAAGAATTTAGTCCCTTGGAGAACATGGATTAACAAACATCTTTACAAGGCAATTATCACTTAGAATCATAGTTCTGAAGCCTGTTAACAGCCACTACAAGTTTGCTCCTATCCACTTTGATGCTTCCAGTTTTGTTTTTATTCATGTCACTAGGTATCAGACAACAAAAGTTCAAAGCAATGCTGCTGATTCAGTGGCATGGTTGGCAACATTTATGATGATTCTTAATTCCTAGAGATCACTTCATATCCTAGATTAACCCAGCAGAAAAATGTCATCTCCTGTGCAGATCCTATACAATGTTCCTACAACCCCCAAGGGCTCTTTTCCAAGTGTCTGGATGTCAAGTCCAGCCTTTTTCAAACACAGAAGAATAACAGCTGCTGTGACAATAATGTGTATTATGATACTTGCTTCTTACTAGTCCTGTGGCTTAAAAAGCTCATAATAGTGTATAATTAGCACAAAACAAACTGTTTTCTATAAAGCTGCAAAACTGGAAAAGGTTTTGACACAACTGAAACAAAGTTTCAGGGGCAAAATTTAACAGGCAACCCAGCTAATCTAATGTTTGTGGCATTAGAAGGACATGCTTGTTGGCTCTGAATCTCATCAGGTCCTTCCACCGTTTATTTAATGCATAAAAGAGCAGAACACTCCCCAGTGTTTTTGCTGTGTGAGTTTTTTGGTCATTTTGGTGAACTGATGTAGCTCAGAGACAAGCAGTAGGACTTGCAAGTTATATGATGGAAGGAGGTAGAGATAAAGAATTCAGCTCACCCGTATTTCAAGAAACTGCAATGTGAGTGACCGAGCCACCAACCCAGTGGCTGTTTTGTTTGTCCCTCCCTGCCTCTGGTCCCACACTCACCTGGATGCCCCATCCACCTTTTCCACTTTCAGTAGCTCTATGAGCTGACTTGGCCACCTGAATCTCAGAGAGACTTGACAGATTCTGGGAGCTGTGTTCCCTGAAGAAGGAAAGAATGAGCTATCCCTACTCTTAGAGTAGGTACCACGTCAGAGTTCCCAGGAGCTGGGGTCATTCTTTCCCATGAACTGCATCAATTCATTTGGAGACCAGCAATAGCAGACAGTAAATTTGCACACAAAAAACTCACTTCTTCAACAAACACTGTGCGGTGGAGAGAGCTACATAATCATAATGCAACAATTCCAGGAGAGTAAACTGCCAACCACCACCTCAATCCACAATTTCAGGCAGTCTTTTCAACTCTCTGGACCTACATCATAGAGTACTCTGATTTAAAATAAAACCATCACCACAATTCAATATTCTGCTGAAAGCTGCTACAGTGAAGGCCAGTGAGATCCAGCACACTCCCTGCAGATCATGTTACTGTATTCATCCCTAGTCAAAGGCTCATGTATATGCGCTGTTTTTACAGGACAACTGAGAGGTAGCAATGCCATGAAGGAACGGGAAGTTAAATGAAATGTGAGAACCTGAACACCAAAGCAAGATCTAAGTGCAGACTGTACTTGGATCTATAAGATCACACCCCTCTTGAGGTGTTCCCAAATGAGGACTCAGATTTGGGAGAGCAATGCTTCAGTAGCCAAGCTGTTCCTTCTCCCTAAATCAGAGTGTAGAAGCAAATGTGGACACCACCTCCTCCTGCCCCATGGAAAAACAAACAAACAAAAATTTCTATTATCCTATTTCAAGGAGGGAGACAAAGGTACATGCCCAACAACACTAAGGCAAGAGTAAGCCATTGATAATGAGTACAGCTGCTACACAGCTCATGACGAGAGCTGCCAGCTCTGTCCCCAGAATAACCCTGAACATCAGTCACAGGGGTATCACAACAGAACAAGTGCAGCAGAGCGCTGCTCTCTGCCTCAGGCTGAGGGGGATGTACTACCCAAAACCATCCCAGCAAGTGCAAGCACAAGAGATGCAGAAGTACTGCACAATATGAGGTATTCAAACAAATTTTAAACAAGTCAGCTTGGCTAACAGAAATGTCCTGGCAGCATACAGAACATTAATTTTTCACTGCGGCAGCAGGACTGTTTCAGCACCCTGGCCAGTCTGCCCAAGCTTGCTCAAGCATGTTAACACTTCCACTGCACAAACATACCAAATGCTTACAGAAGGGAATGTGCTGCAATGCATGGAGCTGAAGGCAAGATCTCCAAGTACCCACCAGCGGACTATCTCACCTGCTGTCCTGCACTGCCACATGCTCACCTTCTCCAAACTGATGGATCAAACTGACTCCATCTCAGCCTTTGACTCATTCTTGCATTTTATTAATTTGTGGGGCCTATGCTGGCACTACCAGTCCACACAAAGCATCAATGGAGATGACAAAATGCACAGGGGAATAAGAAAGGGATGACCAGAAAAAGATGATGAAGGAAAAAAGGGGACGATGCAGAAATAAAGAAGTTAGCTGGTAACTAGACCACACTGTAACTAAAGATCACTGGCAAGGCATCAGTATGCAGACAGATACAGAAGAGGGAAAAATTAGACTGCTATGTTAAGATGTTACACTGATAATGCTCAAGAAGACACAGTACCCTCCAAATTACCTAATAAAGATTTAAGAAGTCTAAATGCCACGTTAAATGACACTTCAACGTTTTCAGAACACAAAACACTAGAACTTATAAAACAAAAGTTACATATCGTGTAATACAATAGCTAAAAATCCACTCTCTCCTGTATCAGGATTACATGCCTAGCTCGTCACACCCTTAAAAATTTATCCTACAAAAGTAATAAATATTGTAGTAAGACTACAGGGTCAGCGGAAATCCCCCTTCTTTTCCGCTGGTGCTTCCTCAGAGCGAGCCTGTCAGCCGGGACGAGCCCAGGTCCGTCCCTGGGGCTGGGCTGGGCTGCGCTCCCCTCCCCGGGGCTGCTGGGCCGGGCCCACGGGGACCCCAGGTTTTAAGAGCTACGAGAAGTACGCTGTTAACCAAGGAAAGGAGAAAAAAGTCCCAGACGAGCCCAGAGACACAGCTCTATAAACACCGCCAGACTGCGGCGGGCAGGGCCCGCAGCGCTCGCTCTGCCGCCTTCCTGCGGACACGGGCCCGCTGTGGGGCCGCCCCGCCGGCCGCGGCACCTCCGGGCGCCCCGGCCGCTCCCGCCCGCCGGAGGCGGCCTCGAGCCCGGACACACACCCGGACACACACCCGGACACGGGCACGGACACGGACATCCCGCACAGCCCGCCCGGGCCCGGCTGTGCCCGCGGCTGCTCCCGCCCCCGGGCCGGGGAGCGCCCGGCCCAGCGCAGCCACTGACCTGCGGCAGGAGGTGCAGGAGCAGCCAGAGGCGGAGCGAGGCCGCCATGCCGGGCCGCTACCGCTTTGTTCCGACCTGGCCCGGGCCGGGCCCTTCCGCACCGGGTCCTCAGAGCCCGCCCCGGACGTCCCGCCCCGGACGGCCCGAGCGGCCAACGGGCTCGGCCGGGGCGGGACGTCACTTCTGGCGGCGCCGAATGAAATGGCGAGCGGTGGCGGCGGTGGCGGCGGTGCGGGGAAGATGGCGGTGAGAGCGGCGTGCGCGGGGGCGGCCCGGGCTCTGCGGGAGCCCCGGGGGTGGGTCCGGTCCGGTGCTGTGCTGTACCGTGCCGTGCCGTATCGTACCATATCGTACCGTACCTTGTGGTGCGGTGCTGCACCATATCGTACGGTACCGTGCGGTGCTGTACTGTGCTGTGCTATACCATATCGTACGGTGCGGTGCGGTACCGTGCGGTGCTGTGCTGTGCCGTACCGTACCCGCACCCCCGCCCCTCCGCCGCGGGCACCCGCAGCAGCGCTCCGGGGCTCTGTGTCACCGCGGGAGGGCTTTAACCAAGCCCTTGTGCCCCTCTGCCGTAGGACAAGGAAAAGAAGAAGAAGGAGAGCATCTTGGACCTCTCCAAGTACATCGACAAGACCATCCGGGTGAAGTTCCAGGGCGGGCGGGAAGGTGAGCCCGGAGCTCCTTTGCCTTTCCCCTCTTCCTTCGAGGAAGGCGAGGGCGGGTGCTTTTATTCACTGCTGTTTGCAGTTACCGCTGTGAAGCTTTTCTCCTTTAACTTTTCCATTAATCTCCTGGCTGCACTTTTATCTTTGTGTCTCATCGGTGCACCTCTTCTTTTATTAGTTGTCCTTCTTTTATTGGTTGTCTCGAACCGCCTTGTTTCGGCAGGTCTTTTGCATTGCAAGGGCGCGCTGAAAGCAGCAAATAAACGTTTATGGTTGTAATGATCAATACAACTCTCTTGCCTTTCAGTCTTGCCTTTCATCTCTGAACATGCTAAACGTGCCCCGAGTTCATGGTTCAATATATGTCACCGTGCCTTTCCATCTCTGTTGTCCCTTGCTCTGCAGCTGGGAAGTGCATCCCGATGCAGTTGTCAGTGCTACCCCCAGGCACTTGTTTGTCTGAGTTAACCCTGTGCTGCATCTTAAAACCCCGCTGGGACCTGATACGTATAAGGGTTTGGAAGTTACTTGGACTTCTTACTGATAAGTGTATTTTTAAAACTGGAAGATCACTCTGTGTAGTTTTGTGATTTATTTGGTGACAAGTCTCGTGGAATCGTGATCTGCTTTAGAACAAAGTGCTGGTCTGTCTGCAGTGCCTTCCTGTGAGGCAGTGCTTATGCTAAAGAGATAATGTGCTGGGAGGGCACCTGGAAGAGGAAAGCACTTAAAATATTACAGTCCTGCGTAATTTTTTATCATAAACCTTCATTAAGGGTATTTATTTGATTTTAGGGTTGCTTTTTTTTTCCTTCATGTGACTTTTATTGATTTGTTATGCAGAAGTATTCTTAAAATGCCCCTGAAATGGGCTGAAAGCAAAAATGTTAGTGTCTTGAAGAGCATTTTGAAGACTTGATTGAAAAGTCTAAGTTTCAGTTGGCACAGCACAGACCAGGTTCTGTGCACTTACTGTTGCTATAGAGGGCACTCTTTAGTATCTCTGGTCTCATTTGCTTGGTATCCTTGACTGAAGGAGGGAACAGGGCTGCAGAATGGAGTGTACCTTTCATGAAGTCTTGAGTTGCTGTATACCTGGTTTTGGTCTCTAATCATCATTTTCTGTGTGGTCTTCAATAGCAAGTGGCGTCTTGAAAGGATTTGACCCTCTTCTGAACCTCGTGCTGGATGGTACCATTGAGTATATGCGAGGTAAGTCATATGCAATCTGTGGAAAGCTTCCCTTTCCCTGAGTGATTTGTTTTTTAACAGAAATCTTACAGATTACTGGTGCTCTCTGTCCCTAATCATTCTGAAGTCAGGGTCTTTTTCTGATTTGCATTGATCTCCAAATGTCTATCTAAAATGATATTTGAAATGGCACCAGGAGCTTTTTTTAATCACTTGCATGTGTGCTATTGGTTGGATGAATGAAAGGGCCTTTGGATACTTTAATAAATGCGTTCTGCTTTTTTGTTGTGTACAAAGCAAAGTTCTTTATTGCTCACTGTGGCATGTGCTACTCTGAAAATTAGTAAATCAGTAATGTCTTGAAGCCATCAGATACTACTGCTGCCTGAGCCATATAGTCCATGTGTTCAATGCGGAGACACCTGGAAAAAACACATTTGTAATTTGGTTTCTTTTTCTTAATTTTCCTGTTGTAACTGTGGATCTCTGCTTTTCAGATCCGGATGACCAATTCAAATTAACAGAAGACACACGTCAGCTGGGACTTGTGGTTTGCAGAGGGACTTCTGTGGTTCTTATTTGTCCACAGGATGGAATGGAAGCTATTCCAAACCCTTTCATTCAGCAACAAGATGGTTAATGCTTTCTTTGGATTGCCTCTGAAGGCTTCAAGGGTGCAAGTCATTGGAGAATCAGTGTGTGAGAAACTTCCTGTTTTGGGGAGGGAGTTTGAATGTGTATTTGTTAGTGTGAAAAAAACAGTCAGCTTTTATTTTTGTGGCTTTCCATAAATGATGTAAGGATGGGGCGTGCAAGAAGTTCTGGTTTCCCCCCACCAGCCCCAAATGAGGGTGTAACTACATTGTTTAGAGCTGACAGGAGAGAACAAATTATCATTAATTGTCTGAGACCCTCTTGATCTTGTGAGTTTTGAAACAAACCAATTAAATTAGTTAAGAATGCCCTAAATATTGGTTATATTCTTTACATTTAAAAATACATTAAATTGTATTTAATCTAAATCAAAGCCTAAATACATTAAAACATGTTTTTCTTCCTCTTAGATGTCAGTAGTCAGCTGGGAAGCATTGTGTTATATTCTTCCTGCTGTTGAGTTCAGTCTCTTTTGTGCAGGGAAATTACCTTCCTTGTTTAGTACTGTGTTACCACCTTGGCAGGGGTTGTAGCCAAGAAGGTCTTTTCCAGCACTTGTTCCAGATCTGGTGCACTGTGATCTGTGTGTCAGCTGGCTCACACATTCCTTCAGAAGGACTGGACTAACTTGTGGGATGATTCTTTGTTGAGTAACTTGAACCTTACAGAGGTATCTGTTTGATACTTGGAATTTTAGGGGAAGAATATTTAAAATTCCAATGTTCAGTTGTTGGCAGTGCTGGAAATACTGCATATTTTTATATTGTAGCTATCCACTTATGGTTCTGCTTGTTATAACTTGATTTGTAAGTAAACATTTTTATTTCTTTTATACTGCAGAAAATGCAAGATTTGAGGAGTTTCGAGTGAATAAATACAGATGAATCTGTTTCTAAATGTCTGGTTTTCAGTCTGTAAAAGTGTGCTTCAGCTGGCATTACAGTTCTCCAGCCATAAATCTAAACAAAATTTGTTCAGGAGGTGTATAAACACTGCAGAATCAGGAGGGACCAGAGCAGAAGCCATGCTCCACTCAGGCAGGAAATTGATGGGAAAGGCCTGAGAGCATCTGGTCCCTCTTCTGAGGACTTGTGCACCTCTGTCAGGCATTTTAAAGACTGCCCAGCCAAGGATATGCGCCCATAGGCTGTGTGTAACCTCCTGCCACCTGCTTTTCCTGAGGACCCTTTAGGAGGAGGCTGTGGCAGAGTCAATTGTTTTGGTGGCAGCAGCCAAGGACAGTTTTACTGGCTGTTATTTTGGCCACAGCACTGTGCTCCCCATTCAGAGCCTGTCCTGGGTCAGCTCTGAAACAGGTGGGAACTTGAAATAAATTCCAGTTCAGTGAGTCTGACTTTTCCAGGAGGCTCTGAAACTGGGGACCAGGTGCCTTGTGTGGCACATTGCCCGTATGAACTTGGGTGCTGCTGGTTTTTAATCTCCTGGGGGCTCATCCTTTGGCTCACAGAACTGTCTGTAGAGCAGTGCTCCTCACAACATAATTCCTTTCTAATGCTGCAAAACTTGTTGTTTGTGCAATTGCACAATTCAAAAGAGAGTCCTTATTTAGAGAGGTAGGAGCAGAATCTGCTCTCCATCAGTGTGAGCAGGGTCTTGAACTGTCCTTTAGGTGGGAGAGAGATTTCTGGTTGTTGAAGCCAGTAACATGCACTGTCTCTGCACTCTTGGGGTGTAGCATCAGAAACAGACCTGCTGAGGCTCTGGAGGGAATTCTGGGCTCTCAGGACAGAGAGATCTGTCTGGAATCACGGATCAAGTGTGTCAACTGGAGAGGTGCATGTTTCCAGCATTTCCTGCTCAGTTGATGGGTTGCTTAGTCTTCATTGCAAGCTGAGTGACTCTCTTTGCAGAGCAGACCTCGAGGGTATATTTGGAAGTCAAGTACCTGAAAAGAAGAACACGAAAATGACAGGGGACAGACATTTTAGCAAGGCCTGTTGTGATAGGACAAGGGATAATGGTTTAAGCTAAAAGAGGGGTGATGCAGACTAGAAGATACTTTTTATGATGAGAGTGCTGAGGCGCTGGCACAGCTGGCCCAGAGCAGCTGTGGCTGCACCATCCCTGGAAACATTTAAGGCCAAGTTGGATGGGGCTCTGAGCAACCTGGTCTAGTGGAAGGTGTCCCTGCCCATGGCAGGGGGGTTGGAACTGGATGACCTTTAAAGGTCCCTTCCAATCCAAACCATCCTAAAGTTCTATGATTCTATATGTGAATTTTAGAAGTGTATATGCTTCTGCTTGCTGAGCTCTGCTGAGAACTGGCACCAAATCCTGTTGGTCTGGGCTCTTCAGGTGAGGGGCTCAAGTTCAAGGTCACTATGCAAATGCCTCCATTTGCCTTTGGAAAAATTTACTATGGCATCAGTGAGCTGTTGCTTGTCCTACATTTGTGTTTGTTTAGTGCATTCAGATTGAGGATGACTAAACATGTGAAGCTGTCTGGGTTTGAATGGGGGGCTCCTTCCTTTCCTCTCTTACTGAAGTTAGATACATAGTAAAAACTGCAATCACTCTGGAATTTGATATTAAACTTGAACTGATGAAAGGTGTGGTAGTGGTTGCTTTTTTCCAAATAGGTTCAATGTTTCTGTGCAACTTCTTGATACTTACTCAGTGCTTAGGAAGCTTGTGGTTGTTTCTCCTTTTTTTCCCAGGCTCTTTGCTTGGCTAACAGGCCCCTGATTTGCTGTGGTCTTACCTGGTGAAGGTAGATGCCAGTCAAATCTGCATTTTTTTGGTTATACAGCTGTTCTGCTATTGCTGTTCTGAAAGCAGCAGGAAAGACTGAAGAGCAAAGCAGGAGAGTAGAAAACATTCTATTTTTAGGGGAAGATTGGCTTATCTCATATTTATTCTAGCCAGGGGGATAATGTTTCCAGAGACCTCACACAAGTAAGGGCCACATAAAGACTGAGTTAATTTTAACTGCCTGGCAGTCCATGGGCATGGAGCCTTCACAGGAGCCACAGGAGCTGGGACCTCAGACAGAAACGATTGCAGACACAATTCTTGAGGTTGGAGAGAGACTGTTTCAGGTCAGCCGCAGGGTGCTTTCAGTGCACAGTCGTTACTTTGAAGCCATGTTTTTTGGAGGGGCAAGAGAGAGCTCTGAGCAGCACATAGTGATCCAAGGGATCGATGCAGTGCCTTTTCAGGCACTACTTGAGTTCACTCGCACAGCCCAAGTGCTTATAGGTCAAGAAAACGTGACTAGTTTACTGGAAACGGCTGATTTTTTCCAGTTTGACAGGGTGAGACTGTTGTGTGAGAAATTTCTGGAGAGAGAGCTGCATGTTTCCAACTGCCTGGGCCTGATGACCTACTCGCAGCAATTTGCTTTTACAGAGCTGTATGAGTCTGCTATGAACGTGGCTGTCACTCACTGGGGGGATGTGATGTGCCAGGAGGAATTTAAGGCACTATCCAAGGAAATGCTGATGCAGCTCCTAAAAAGTGACGACCTCTTCGTTTCACGAGAAGATGTGGTTTTTGACAGTATTATGAGGTGGATAATGGAGGACCCAGCAACGAGAGAGGAAGAGTTTCTGGACTTGGTGGGCGAAGTTAGGGTCGCTTTTCTGAGTTTGTCCTTCCTCGATCTCTTGGTGAAACGCAGCAAGCACCGTGGAGAGGCAGATGTCTTTTCCAGACTAATAAAGAAGTTAGACTGCTGTCCTCCACCCAGCTGGCAAAATCCCAAACTGTGTCCTTACGCTGGTCGGAGCTACGACACCTTATACGTACTGGGAGGAAAGCATGACAAGGAACAGCAAGAATTATTTCTCTTTCTACCTAAAACAGGGACCTGGCAGGCTTGTTCTCCTCTGCAGCGCCGGAACCTTACCCAGTACGCAGTGGCAGCAGTAGGTAACTCACAGAGAAGGGAGACTGAGCAAATGCAAACTGAAGTTGAGAAAGAGAATCCCTGCTGCAGGGAGTCCAGCTGCTGCTGTAAAACTGCTGTGCTCAGCATTGCTAAAACCTCATTCATATTGGTGTTCATATTTGCTCAAAGAATGGGTTTGTTTTCCTTAGTCCTGGGAGAATGCTAGACAAGGCTGAATATTTCTTTTCATGTAGCAGAAACTATGGAGTCTGTTGAGCTCCTTACATTGGCTTTGTCTGCAGTGAGTCAAAGGACTTAACTTTGAGCAGTGTTATTTTTTTGGCCTTCTCTTTTGTGGTGGTTTTGACAGATATCAGGCAGCTTCTGATTTACAGTTGCCATTACATTAAACTTATCCATGGATGTTAGGAAATCTCTATGCTTGGAGATGAATTTCAAGGCAGTTCAATACCATGGCTTCCTATATTAGTGTTAGTGATAGTCTCAATTCAGGTGGGAGTTTGGAAATGAGATATCCAGAGGTTCTTTCCAGCCAGTGTTTCCACGATTCTGTTCAAGAGTGGGAGCAGGCTTGGAAGGAATCCCTGCATCCCATGGGCCCAGTGTATCTGTGAGGATGAGGAATCAAATACTGCAAACTGGTTCATAGAGCAGTGATTTTCTCTGCCCATTTTGCACCTCACTACTACAGCCCAGGAAGAAACGAGAACCCCAGCTCTCAGGAGCAATTTTTAGCTTTTGTGTGACTGATGCTTTTCTCTGCTGTCTTTCCAGGGAGCTTCCTTTTTGTGACAGGAGGATATTTCCGGGATGAGTTTGTGTGGTACAGTGTGGATTGGGTGCTCATCTACAACTGCTTGGACAACAGCTGGCTGGAAGGGCCAGCCATGAAGAAGTCCCGGAACAGCCACTGTGCAGTGGGAGCAGGGCTCTACCTGTATGTGCTCGGAGGGAGCACCGATGAAGGAATAACCCCTGCAGTGGAGCGCATGGCTTTGGTGGAATCAGAGTGGGAAAGCATGAGCCCTATGGCTCAGCCTGTGGAGAGGGGTGATGCAGTCAGTGTGGGAACCAGGATCTATGTGGTCTGTGGCCTGGATGAGAATGGACATGTGTATGATGGAGTGCAAAGGCTGAACACGGACACGGACAGCTGGGATGTCATCTCATTCTCCCCACTTCCAAGGTAAGAAATAATATTCTGGGACCTGGCAGAAGAAGAAAGGTTCTAGTGTTGGTCCTGCTTCAAGAAGAGGTTGGACTGTAGAAATCCAGAAGTCCTGTCCCTGCAACACTTCTGTGACTCTCTGTTTAAATGGGACTCTTGATTTGAGGACCACAGTCACACTGAGTATTTCAAGGGCCAGATCTTTCTGCTGATTCTGATCAAGGGTTTCTTCCCTCCCAGGTATGACCTCTGCATCACATCCCTGAATGGGGCTCTGTACACCATAGGAGGGGGAGCTTTTCGATTTGATGTGGAGACTGATGAATGGACCCAGGTGAACGAGGAATGCTTGACCCAGAAGTTCTTCATGGGATGCAGCACTGTGAATGGACGAATTTATCTCCTCGGACAGAGGAAGGGGAACAGTGCCCTCCCCACTGTAGTCCTCTTTGATCCCTACACTGATGTGTGCCAGGTCATAGATAACAAACTCCCTTGCCCCCTTCCTATTCATGGCTGTGTCTCTGTGCGAAGATTTGATATGTGGGCATGAGCAATGCCAGATCCACCATAAACAAAAAGTCATCTCCTTTACAGCTGAAGGGAGTTAGACTGCATCACGTTTGGCCTGTGAAATTTTTTAATTTTGAAAATAGATTTGTTCTTTTGTAACTTTATCTTTTTTTTCTACAAATAAACTTGAAGCAAAAGCCAGTGAAAAACTTCGTGTCTGCACAAAGGCTGCAAGTCATTACTGAAAGTGGTACACAAACTCCTCAGGGTTGTTGCTAAATAAAGGGCTGCTCTGACCTTGAACCTCTGTGGCTCTCTGAACAGCTGGAAGAGACAGGAAAGTCA